TCTTGGCTCACGACGAATAAAAAAATCATTACAATAGAGATAGGGTGGGTGGGCGGGGCTACATTTTGCCTTGTTTTCTTAATATATGTAGACTTCTTTCGATAACAAGAAACTTAAAACATGTCTAAAACGGTAATTTTTTGTTGCAATCAACTTAAATACTCCACTTTTTTTCTACAACGCTTTTAAATACGGCAAAAGTTGAACATCAAAGTTACTATCAGCGAGAACTTCAACGTCAACAGCAAGTTTATAAATCCCACTTTAAAATCTAAAATTCTAGAAATACTCTAACTTTGGGAAACCTTCGAAAAATTAATTTTTTGGAAAACAAAAAAATCTCAGATTGCTTCCAGATTGGTTAATTAATTCTATAAACTTCCGAAAACTTAAAAAATTATGAGATTTTCACCATCCCAAAATTTCAAAAATCGCACCACTTTAGTATAAAAAAGAACTTCTCAACTATTTCAGATTTTCAAAAACAGGTGTAGAAAAATTTGGTTTAGCGAAATTTTTGAACTCCTCCAGTGCCACCAGCCGTTTTTCGTGCGCCCAAGACCCACCATGGTACCATGGGACTCATCCACTGGGCAAACCACGCGGATCCGCGTCTCAAAAGCCGGTGTCCAATTTTCGACTAATTTTCAACGAAATTTTCGAAATTTCGCTATATACATTTTCTTGTAGATTTCGGGCCGCAGAAGTCACTCCCGGTTTCATTTCTTCGATAACTCCAATGGTTTTTCTGGGTTTTGGATTTCACTGGTTTTTTTGATTATATGAAGACTGAATTTTATTATGTTAAATGGCGAACTAGATTTACAAAAATTCAACCGGTTTACCTCCTAATCACTCATTCCATTGCACAAAAGTGATAAACAAATAGTAATAAACAAGAAAATCTGGACAAAAAACGTAGAGCTAATCCCATTTTTCCTTCTCTTTTGACACTCATTTACTTCATTAATTAAGTATATGTTCGATGTCCGTGGAAGTAGAACTTATTAATAAGTACTTTCAATTAAAAAGGGAATAATTTTACAGCAACTAAATGAATTCTTCTCACCTGTAAGTTTTAGTAAAATACCTAATCCTCTTTACGATTTCCAGCGACTACATTAAATTCTTAGATACCATAAAAGTTCAACTTTTTTTTTTCAGTTTTCCGATACATATTTCGATTTCTGATTTTCCGATTATACAGTTGTACAATTTTCCGATTTCTCATTTATCCGATTTTTCAATTTGTCGATTTTTCCATTTTTTATTTTTCGATTTTTCGGCTTTCGATTTCTCGATCTTTCAATTTTTCTTCGATTTATCAATTTTTCTATATTTTAGTTTTGGGATTTTTCAACATTTCGATTCTTCAATTTTTTTGATTTTTCAATTTTTCGACTTCTGAATTTATCAAGGTTTCGACGTTTCGATTTTTCGATTCTGCAGTTATATTTTGAATTTTTCTATTTTTCGATTTTTCAAAATTTCGGTTCGAATAAATTTGTGCTTGTAGTTAAAAAATCTAAGAATGACAAATCGTGAAAATGAAAAATTTTAAACTGAGAACTTGAAAAATTAAAAATCAAAATAAATGCAAAATCGGAAAGTTAAAAATTGAAAAATCAAAAGATTGGATTTAAAAAATGCAAAATCGTCAAACAAATTGTCCAATGAAATATTCAAAAGTTGAAAAATCTAAAAACTAAAAAAAATAAAAACTGGAATTTCGAATTCGATTTCATAAGATTTGTTTTTTTTTTTCATTTTCTGATATTTCGATTTCTGATTTTCCGATTATACAATTGTACAATTTTTCAATTTCTCATTTATCCGATTTTTCAATTTGTCGATTTTTCCATTTTTTTATTTTTCGATTTTTCGGCTTTTCGTCTCGGTCTTTCAATTTTTCTTCGATTTATCAATTTTTCCATATTTTAGTTTTGGGATTTTTCAACATTTCGATTCTTCCATTTTTTAATTTTTGAAATTTCGGTTTCTCAATTTTTTGATTTTTGAAATTTCGATTTCTCAATTTTTTATTTTTCAATTTTTTCGACTGCTGAATTAATCAAGCTTTCGACGTTTCGATTTTTCGATTTTGCAGTTACATTCTCAATTTTTCTATTTTTCGATTTTTCAAAATTTCGCTTCGAATAATTTTGTTCTTTTAGTTAAAAAATCGAAGAATGACAAATCGTGAAAATCAAAAATTTTAAATTGAGAACTTGAAAAATTAAAAATCAAAAAATTGCAAAATCGTAAAGTTAAAAAATGAAAAATCAAAAGACTGGATTTAAAAAATACAAAATCGTCACACAAATCGTCCAATGAAATATTCAAAAGTGGAACAATCTAAAAACTAAAAAAAAAATGAAAATTGATTTCTGATTTTCCGATTATACAGTTGTACAATTTTCCGATTTCTCATTTATCCGATTTTCAATTTGTCGATTTTTATTTTTTTATGTTTATTTTTTTAGGAGAATAAGTTGTCTGCCAAAATCAATCTTATATCGGCAAGTAGTAGCCCCGCCCACCCACCCTCATTTTCTTAGAGGATATATCATTTGCCAAAATAAGTCTTATTTTAACAAGTACTAGTCCCGCCCACCCACCCTTTATTTTGTTAAAAGAGTGGCACATCTGCCAAAATTAGTCTTATCTTCACAAGTACGTAGTCGTTTTTTAAGAACAAGGAACTTAAAACATGTTTAAAATGGTAAATTCGTGTAAGCAAATATGGATTTTGCAATTAAGCCCCTCCCCTCCATCTGACAACGAATGAAAAATTCATCACGATTGTGATTTGAGATCGGCGCGGGTATGGGTGGGGCCTAATCTTTGTCTTTATTTTTGACTTAATATACATACTATTCTTTGAAGAACACGATAACGAAAAACATGTTTTTAATTTCTTGTAGAGAAATAAAGATTTTGCAGTTAAGCTCCGCCTTCTTGGCTCACGATGAATAAAAAAAATCATCAGAATTGGGAAAGGGCGGGTGGGCGGGGCTTATATTTTGCCTTTTTTTTTCTTAATATACATAGCCATCTTTTCGGAACGGAAGAAACTTGAAACATGGCGGAGGCTAATTTCAAAATCGATATTTCCTAATACAAATTTTCCATTTTAAACATGTTTTAAGTTTCTTGTTGTGTAAAGAAGTCTACACATATTAAAACCAACAGGCAAAATGTAAGCCCGCCCACCCACCCCAACGCAATTGTGATATTTTTTGACTCTTAGAAACCTAAAACACATTTAAGATGGTAAATTTTTGTAAGTAAATGAGTATTTTGCAGTTAAGCGCCGCCCCATTGGCTCACGACGAATAAAAAAATAATCACAATTGAGATAGGGCGGGTGGGCGGGGCTTATATTTTGCCTTTTTTTCTCTTAATATATGTTGCCGTTTTTTCAGTACAAGAAACTTAAAACATGTTTAAAGTGGTAAATTCTTGTAGACAAATATGGATCTTGCAATTAAGCCCCGCCCCTCGATCTGACAACGAATGAAAAATTCATCACGATTGTGATTTGAGATCGGGACGGGTATGGGTGGAGACTAATCTTTGGCTTTATTTTTTTCTTAATATACATAGTATTCTTTGAACAACACGATAACGAAAAACATGTTTTTAGTTTCTCGTAGAGAAATAAAGATTTTGCAGTTAAGCTCCGCCTTCTTGGCTCACGACGAATAAAAAAAATCATTACAATAGAGATAGGGTGGGTGGGCGGGGCTACATTTTGCCTTGTTTTCTTAATATATGTAGACTTCTTTCGATAACAAGAAACTTAAAACATGTCTAAAACGGTAATTTTTTGTAGCAATCAACTTAAATACTCCACTTTTTTTCTACAACGCTTTTAAATACGGCAAAAGTTGAACATCAAAGTTACTATCAGCGAGAACTTCAACGTCAACAGCAAGTTTATAAATCCCACTTTAAAATCTAAAATTCTAGAAATACTCTAACTTTGGGAAACCTCCGAAAAATTAATTTTTTGGAAAACAAAAAAATCTCAGATTGCTTCCAGATTGGTTAATTAATTCTATAAACTTCCGAAAACTTAAAAAATTATGAGATTTTCACCATCCCAAAATTTCAAAAATCGCACCACTTTAGTATAAAAAAGAACTTCTCAACTATTTCAGATTTTCAAAAACAGGTGTAGAAAAATTTGGTTTAGCGAAATTTTTGAACTCCTCCAGTGCCACCAGCCGTTTTTCGTGCGCCCAAGACCCACCATGGTACCATGGGACTCATCCACTGGGCAAACCACGCGGATCCGCGTCTCAAAATCCGGTGTCCAATTTTCGACTAATTTTCAACGAAATTTTCGAAATTTCACTATATACATTTTCTTGTAGATTTCGGGCCGTAGAAGTCACTCCCGGTTTCATTTCTTCGATAACTCCAATGGTTTTTCCGGGTTTTGGATTTCACTGTTTTTTTTTTTGATTAGATGAAGACTGAATTTTATTATGTTAAATGGCGAACTAGATTTACAAAAATTCAACCGGTTTACCTCCTAATCACTCATTCCATTACACAAAAGTGATAAACAAATAGTAATAAACAAGAAAATCTGGACAAAAAACGTAGAGCTAATCCCATTTTTCCTTCTCTTTTGACACTCATTTACTTCATTAATTAAGTATATGTTCGATGTCCGTGAAAGTAGAACTTAATACTTAATAAGTACTTTTAATTAAAAAGGGAATAATTTTACAGCAACTAAATGAATCCTTTTCACCTGTAAGTTGTAGTAAAATACCTAATCCTCTTTACAATTTCCAGCGACTACATTAAATTCTTAGATACTATAAAACTTCAACTTTTTTATTTTTTTTCGGTGTCGATGAACTGCATTCCGGCGCTGCCACCATTTTCCGGAGAGTCATCCACCTGCAATCTGACCCGGAATGCATGGCGTCACCCGAATGCCCGAATTCTTGCGCTGCAAACAGACGCCGAGCGTCCCGGCGATGGCGCCTTCCCATCCAGTACGCTCTCGACCTCCTCCGGGAAAGCACGCACCACGAACGTCCAAACAAGTCGAGCAAAAAGTTTGCCAACTTTTCTCCGGTTTCCGGGAGCCCGGAAAGCGCACATAAGAGCACCGCTCCGGTGAGTTCACACTATATGTTCATTTCGACCCGACCAATTAGTCCCGAAGGCCGTTTTAATTGAAAGTTTGCTTTGATCGAGTAACGTCATTTCGTACAGGCCCGGGGCAGTTGGTGTTGACGACGTTGACGTTCGAAGGGTGGTAAATGTGATTAAATGGGAGCTGGTGGGGGGTAATGGAAAAGTTGACAGTTTTTTTGTAAAGAACTGGAAGTCAACAAGAAGAGCGGTTTGTGGGATGCATTAAAGTTTAATTTTAAAATTCGAGTCAAGAAGGTGTATTTGATGTCTTTTTGCTTTGTTAGGGGAGGTTTGATGCATTATTTATGTGCAGATTTTATGCGTAGCTTAGTTTCAAAGGGCTGATGATCAATCATGAGCGAAATGTACACGTGTGTGCATATTTTTGTGTTTTGTTAGACATAAATAAAAGTTCTCGTGTATTCAGATCGTTGGTAGAAAACTTCTGACGATGTTAATTAAGGAGTTGTTTAGAAACTTTAAGTTCTTGTCGGAGGAGATTTTTATGTTATTAAGTTGGCACGAGAAATGGAGCTGGGGATCGTTTTCCATATTTACTCTTGTCGTAGTGTCCCAAACTTGGACGGGTGCCATTGTGAAAAGTATTTTCTATTAAATGAGTTTTCTAGATTTGATATTCAACTCAAAACGTATTTTTTTTTCAAATTCACGCTTACAGAACTAACTAAGTTAGATATTGGAACCTCTTTGGTCGGAAATTCACTCAACTCAACTAATGTCATTTCGTAGAATCCTTAAGGCAATTTCGATTTTGCTGCCTAAGAGGCGATTTTTATTAGCTTAATTGATAGAGAGAATGTCGAGCTTTCGGAAATCGATCGAGCAGCTGTACTTTGTAGCGTTTTTTTATATCAGAAGGCAATAAAAGCAAGACATAGACATAAAAGCTATTAACTTCCATCGCGCGGGTTTTTGCTGGATACATTAAATTTTAATTTAAAAATTCTCGTCAACAGGGTCCGTTTAGTTTCTCTTCACTTTGTTACGAAAAGGTTCATGAGTTATGGATGTGACGATTTTATGCGTAGCTAATTTTAGAGGGACTGATAATCAATCATGGGTGAAGAGTAGGTGTGCGTTAGTATTTCCTGTGTGTTTTTTTAGCTAAATTTTTCATTCAAAAGGTCGTTGTTAAAATCGGTGGAAAGCGTTAATGAATTAAGAGTTATTAATAAGCTGAAAAAGTGCAAACAATGTCTATAATTGGCTGTGTTTATTGTACGACGAATTTTTATCTTTTTCTACGATTATATAAGGGTTTCAATTTTGAGTAAAACCAACCCGGCGCATTCACGTTTTTACGACATATCGTAATGGTACTGAATACCCGATTGTACAATGAAATTGAAGTTGGAATCGTCACTGGAATGAAACTAGCAATAACCTTGAAGCATTTCCGTTACGTTTCCAGCAACGGAAATGGCAGTCTTCGATGGAAATAAATAAAAGTGCATCGTTCAATTAAACTGCAAAACTAGGAATCGAATCAAATTTAATATGGAAATAGTTGAAATATATTCAAAAAACTATAAATCAGTTTTACTTCCCGAGAGTAACCGAATCTGTCGGATGAATGGCCACTTTTATATTTTCTCGACGTTTCATGACCTCTAAAGTACGAAAAAGTGGTGTCCTGTTTCCGTCTGTCTGTCTGTTTGTCTGGTCAAATACTAACCAAAATTTGGCTAATTATCCCCATTAATATTCATCTAATAAGATAAGAATCAAATCAATCATTTGCCAAAATCAGTCTTATCTGAGCAAATACTAGCCCCGCCCACCCACCCCTATTTTCTTAGAGAATATGTCATCTGCCAAAATAAGACTTATCTTAGCAAGTACCAGCCTATGAGGAAATAAAGGGCGGGTGGGTGGGGCTAGTACTTGGTAAGATATGACTAATTTTGGCAAATGATTTGATTCTTATCTTAGTAGATGGATATTAGCTGATTCGAAAAATTCAGAAGAATCTAGAATAATCTGAAAGAGTCTGATATGATCTGGGAAAATTTGAAAGAATCTGAAACGATATGAAGGTGAAAAATTCTGAGAGAATCTGAAAGTATCGAAAAAATCTGAAAGAATGTGAGAGAATTTAAGATTTTTTCAAATTCTGAAATTTTGTTTACGGTTCTTTTTTGGAATTCTTTGGATTTTTTCCGATTCTCTCTTTCGCATTTTTCTGTTTCTGTCGAACTTTTTTAGATTCTTTTGAACTTTTCAGATTCTTTCAAAGACACCTCACAAATCCTCAAGATTCTTTAAAATTGTTTAGTTCTGTTCAGATTGTTTCAGATCCTTACAAATCCTTTCAGATTCCTGCAGACTCTTTCAGATTTTTCCAGATTCTTTTAGATTTTGCTAGATTCTTGGAGATTTTCCTTTTTTCCCTGGAGGAATCTAGCCCCGCCCACCCACCCTCTGTTTTTTTCAGAGCGTATGGTGTCTGCCAAAATCAGTCTCATCTGAGCAAGTACTAGCCCCGCCCACCCACCCCTATTTTCTCAGAGGATATGTCATCTGCCAAAATAAGACTTATCTTAGCAAGTAATCTGAAAGAATGTGAGAGAATTTAAGATTTTTTCAAATTCTTTATTTGGTTTACGACTTTTCTTTTCGAATTCTTTGGATTTTTTCCGAGTCTCTCATTCGCATTTTTCGGTTTCTTTCGAACTTTTTCAGATTCTTTTAAACTTTTCAGATTCTTTCAAAGACGCCCGTCAGAAATCCTCAAGATTCTTTAAAATTTTTTAGTTATGTTCAGATTGTTTCAGATCCATACAAATCCTTTCAGATTGCTGCAGGATTTTTCAGATTTTTTCAGATTCTTTTAGATTTTGCTAGATTCTTGGAGATTTTCCCATTTTCCCTGGAGGAATCTAGCCCCGCCCACCCACCCTCTGTTTTTTTTCAGAGCGTATGGCGTCTGCCAAAATCAATCTCATCTAAGCAAGTACTAGCCCCGCCCACCCACCCCTATTTTCTCAGAGGATATGTCATCTGCCAAAATAAGACTTATCTTAGCAAGTAATCTGAAAGAATGTAAGAGAATTTAAGATTTTTTCAAATTGTTTAAGTTTGTTTACGACTCTTCTTTTCGAATTCTTTGGATTTTTCTGATTGTCTCTTTCGCATTTTTCGGTTTCTTTCGAACTTTTTCAGATTCCTTTGAACTTTTCATATTGTTTCAAAAACACCCATCAAAAATCCTTAAGATTCTTTAAGATTTTTTTGTTCTGTTCAGATTGTTTCAGATCCTTACAAATCCTTTCAGATTCCTGCAGACTTTTTCAGATTTTTCCAGATTCTTTTAGATTTTTCTAGATTCTTGGAGATTTGCTCATTTTCGGAACATTTTGCAGGACTTTGAAGCAATGTGGTAAAATTTGAAAGTAAATATTATTATTATTATTATTATTATTATTAAAATCCAGAGAATTCTAAAGAGTCTGAGAGATTCGTAAAGAAATTGAAGGAATGTGTAGCAATTTGAAAAAATCTGAGGAAACCTGCGAGAAACTGAGAGAATTTTGAAGAATTTCGAAAAATCAAATAGAAAACTTGAGGAATTTGGAAAAATCTGAAAGGATCTGGAACGATCGAAATAGAACCGAAAATTTTGAAAGAATCTTGAGGATTCCTGATGGTCTTTGATACAATCTTAAAAAATTTGATTGAGAACAAACCGGAAACATCGAAAAGCATTCGGAATAATCAGAAAGATTACAAAAACCGAAAAAATCTGAAAGAGAATCAAAAAGAAAATGAAAGAATGTGAATGCATTTGACAAAATCTGAAGGAATTTGAGGGAATCTGAGAGAAATTGCGAGTTTGGAAAGAATCTAAGAGATTCGGAAAGTATAATTTACTAGAATTTTAGAAAAAATTTAAAACTGAATAAGAATATTTTGCAATGTAATTTTGAAACTGCAAAGCCGATTGCTCGGAAATCTTGTAAATATTTTAAGGTTATCGTAAACATGGTAAATCGTTAAGCAAAATTTATTCTTTACCCCTTACCAAAAACTGATGACGTCATCTCAAAATTTTGCCGAACAAATCCTATCCAAAATGTTTAAATAAGTTTTTACTTATTTCTAAATTCTCTGCAATGTTGAATGTTTAGAATTTAGAGAATTTTTAGAATTTCCTTATTTCCAAGAATCTCTAGGATCCTTAGAATCTTTAGAATTTTTAGAATCTCTAGAATATTTAACTGTTATCTCTGAAATATCTAGAAAATCTCAAATCTATAGAATGTTTAGAATCTCTAGAATTGCAGGAACCGGTGTACTCTAGAACTGTGAATTACTTTAAACCTCTAAACATTTAAAATCTCCAAATTTTTGAAAAGATTTCGAATGTTCCAAATATTCCAAATTTTCCCGAAACTGGTTTAAAGATTCGGAAGATTCTAGAAGTTCTAGAGATCGTAGAGATTTTAAATATAGTGCAAACTTTATGGATTGTATCTAGAAATTCTAAAAATTCTAGATACTCTAAAAATTGTAAAGATTTTGGAGAGTATATAGAGATTCTAGAATTTCCATATATTCCAAATATGCAAGTATTCATAAAGATTGTAGAGAATTTAGAGGTTGTATTGACTGTAAAAGTTTTAGAGTCTAACTGTTTCAGAAGTCCTAGACAGTCTGAAGATTCGAAAGATTCTAGAGATTCTAAAAATTTGAGAAACTCAAGAAATTCCAAAAACTCTAGAGATTCTAAAAATTCTAGAACTTTTAGATATTCTCGAGATTCTGAACATTCTGGAGTTAAATATATTAAAAATTCCAAAAAATCCGAAGAATGCAGAGATTTGGATTTTTTGCAAATTCTAGAGATTTTGGAGAATTTTAAGGTTCAAAAAATTCGCGAAATTCTAAATGTTCTAGAGATTCTGGAAATGTTTAAGGTTTTAAACATTCTAGAGCTCCTGAATATTCTGCAGATGCCA